AGCTCTACCATGTGGAGTTGGGCCTGAGCTCTACCATGTGGAGTTGGGCCTGAGCTCTACCATGTGGTGTTGGGCCTGAGCTCTACCATGTGGTGTTGGGCCTGAGCTCTACCATGTGGTGTTGGGCCTGCTACCAGCTCTCTCTACCATGTGGTGGCAGCCCTAGGCTCTACCATGTTGTGATGTCTGAGCATGCTTGAGCCTAAATAAATATATCCGCTTTTTGGTGCAGAAAATTTGGGGTTGAAGTGGGACTTAGAAGTAGTTTGCCGGAATGCTGGAAGTATTTTCTTGCATCTTTTGGTGCAACTGAACAGAGGCACTGTTTTGTAGAGCATCTTTCTTAATGAGGAACTTTATCTCCCCCACCCACCCATCCATTAAGTTTTTTTTATTCAATCCACTCTTACCTTTTTGCTTAGTTACATTAAAAAATAAAAACATAATTAACAACTAGCGAATCCAGAATTGTTTTGTTGTGATCTACCACTCTACTGATTTATGCCTGGTCCAGTTCCTTGCTTACATCAGTGGGAGCGGTCTGTCTCTTCCTGGATGTTTCAGCATTCCCCCTGACGAAGGGGCACCAGGTCCTTCCTCCTCCAGCAGCTGTGCGAAACCCAATGCCTCTTGGAATATGTGATATCCCAGAATGCATCAGGAGCAGGGTTCTCATCATTCTTGCCTAGACAGGCAAGGACGCAAGTTGAACTATGAAAGGGAACAAAATACACATACACAAATAGTGGGCTTTTTTATTGGCGGAGGGGGGGTTACAATGGTGAAGTGTTTTTCTGTGGGAAGGTTCACTTTTAGGTACAAGTTTGTTTTTAAAAAAAAAGACTCTGCGATTGGGAGAAAGGGTTTAAACATTTGCAGTATGACATGCAGGCACTCACACCCCGGTTGCACGATTTCAAAGTCAGATGTCATCTCGATTTGAAATGCGATTTGCAAGACATCTGACAGAGATGTCTATGCAAATATCACCAAAAGTAGTGCATGCACTACTTTAGAAATCAGTGTGGCTCCGACCAAGTCAGAACTGCATCGATATTACCTCTGTATCTGCGGACAATAGGGTGTAACTTTTCATACGATTTGCACGTTGTATGGCATGCAAATCTCATGCCAAGTCATACCCGGTGTGACCGGGGTCTTAGCGGTGCACATCCTGCAAAGTTTCCTCAGATTCCCATCGGTCCAAATCTCAGGCTGCTCTGCAGGCAAGGTTCTGCCAGTATCTAATAGTGCTTTAGCATGCCTACCCCTAATGTTTCCTGCATATTCTTATTGGCCAGCAAAGCTGTACTTCATAGTGATGGGCCAGTAGGAATGTGGGAGTGGGCTTAGTGGCAAGCTTCAAAACTACCTAGAAGTGCCAAAAAATTGTCTTTCAGAACGACTCAGGAAGGCTTGATAGGTTGCTGTAGATATATGCACCTCCAGGTATGTCAGGGAATTCCTCTGAGCAGGCTCACTCAGAGACATGCGCATGGTATCAGAAACAGAACTGTGCTCAGACACACACATGTGCCTTGCCCTTGACGTGATCTTGGGTCCTGCTTATACTTCTGCTCACCCATTTCTGACCTTGGCTCTGTTCTTGACTTTGATCCTGCCTATGCCTCTGCACCTCGCTTCCCACCTGCTGCTAACCTCAGCTACCCCTGTGATCTCACTTCTGTCTCTGAATCAGTTCTACCTTGCTTCTAAGTGCCTGCCTTGGCTGTCATATGCATCTGCTTCAACCACAAGCCTGCTGTGAGCTCTGACAAGCCATGTTTCCTGAACCTGCAGTGCATGCAGAGTGTCCCTTTAACTTCAGTCAGTTCATCCTGCACAGCTTCTCCTACTGATTCAATGTGCTGCCAGACCATCCGAGTCTGCATCTTCAGCTGCAAGTTCTACTATCAACACCTATCAGCACCCAGGTTCCTCCTTTCCCTTGGCACTATCTGTTCTTTTTATTCTCAGTGGGGCCTGGACAAGAGAGACCAACCTCATTATTTCAGTCTCTTATCAGGTGCATAACAAAGTGTCTGGACTTCTTACTTGCATGAATTTTCCCCATTTGCTCTATAATATTTGATATTCCTTTCAGCAAGATCCATTATAAAAGGTCAACTCTTCTGGGTTTAGGTCAAGGCTTAGGAGTGTGTCTGTGGGAATGTTTGATCATTCTTCGAGAAGTGCATTTGTGAGGTCAGGCACTGGTGTTGGATGAGAAGGCCTGACTCGCACTCTCAGTCAGTAGCTGTTGTTCCCAGTTGCTGGCACTCTTTGTTATAATACCACTAACAGATGATTGTGGAATTTTTAGTAGCAAGGAAATTTCATGGATGGACTTATTACATACAGTAGGTTGCAACCTATCACGGTACCACGCTTGAATTCACTGAGCTCCTGAGAGCAACCCATTCTTTTACAAATTATTGTAGGTGCAGTCTGCATGCCTAGGTGCTTGATTGTATACACCTGTGGCCATGGAAGAGATTGAAACACCTAAATCTAATGATTTGGAGGGGTATCATAATACTTTTGGCAATATAGTATATGTTTAAAAAGAGAAAAAAAAGAATAGACAACACAGAAAAAAAGCCTGAAAGAAATAAACCAGTTCCTTTAGCAATTAAAACCAGTATAATTAATACTTTTAGTCACTCTAGTTGCGTAAACATCTAGGCAAGGAAAATACTGACTACTGCATGCTGGAGCCCAAGGGCTGCATCACAAGTACCATGGGGACACAGGTTGGGCAGTGTATCTACACATCATGAAGGGCCAGTTAGAAGATGTTTAAAGCCTAACTTCAATGATTTTTTTGTATTCCCTTTTTGGCCTCATCTATAAAAGAAAAAAAATGTAAAATGCACTAATCACCCTCTTCATGCTGCAACACTGCTCTCCTGCTGCCCTCCTAGATTGTTACGCACAAAACCGTTTCCAGGGTTGAATGACACTCCATCAATGACCAGAATGGATTAACCATTCAACTAAATAAACACATGCTTAGAGCACCAAGGAAAGAAGCACCACAAAGCTTTTTCCTCTAGCAATCGTGTTCTTAAACGAAAAGTCCACTTTAAAACAAAGTTCATGTATCTTTTCTGTCCCTTTGAACTGAGCTATCCAATCCCAGCCTCCCCCTTCCCAGATGTATTCTGAGATCTGACTGTCATGGTCTCCTTTGTTTATTTACACCTTGCAGCTGGGAGACAAAGATACAGGAGACAGGGAATGTAAGTAAACAAGAGGGTTTTCAAAGGGGGGGGGGGATACAAATAGGGCACTATTGTTGGACTGTACTTAGGACATCATTTGCTCTAGACACACCCTTGGGCTAGCATCATCAATTAGTCTGAGCTCACAGTGTAATAGACAAGGGCCCACTAAAGACCACCAAAGATGGAGAAAGCAGTCAATTTATCAAATACATATTTAATTAACGTATGTATGCTTTTTTTTTTTTATGAAGTGTGGGGAGGGATGTGGTAGGATGAGAGAAACCAGCTCCCAAAAATGAAGTAATCAGCCTATATATAACTAATTTGTGCATAATCAGTGGACAAAAACTCTCCTCTAGTCTATTACCCAAGACTCAGTAGTTTCCCCAATGGATGCTGACATGTCTTTTGCACAACAAGTTGAAACCCGACTGTTTCTCACATAAGTAAAAGACTAGGGAAGAGTTGTTGGAGTTGCAAACTTTTCTGCTGACTTTTGGAAAAAAGTAAATATTTGCATATAAGTAAGAACACCATACACCTGGAAATAATGGCGTAGAAGAATATGAAGGTCTATTTTTACATGCCTGGATGGAATGGTCTACTTTTTATTTGGAAATTACCTACCCACAGCACAGCAAAAGCATGTTCCAGGTCTGTTTGTTTTATTATAAAGAACAGGAAGATTACCGGATGTCTGTTAACCCATTGATTATGAATTATGTTTAGAAATAAAAGAAAAAGTTGAACACAAAGCAATTTCTGAAAAAAGGTAAATGCTAACTATGAATGTGTGTGTGATGTTCACTGTAATTAAATAAAATATAGTACTTTTGAAGTGATGCATTTACTAGGAAACCATAGTAAAAATAATTTTAGATTTTTAAATGCCTGCTCCTATTTTAGATATACTTTCGCACTATTGACCTGTTTTGACCATTCAGTAGTGAACAATGCCTTTTAAACGCAATGAAACGTGTTTTCCTTTTGTCATTTCTTGTCATTTTTTTTAATGCGAGCAATATAAGTACCTGAATTTAACTTGGTATCAGCCTGTTGCAATCCCTGTATAACAGAATTCAGGCCAAAGGGGAGGAAAAAGCAGCACAAGGAGCCAATCAGCTGCACTGCAGAACAAGCCACATGCTAACAGGGTGAGATCGCAGAGTGGCAGGGAGATGAGTACATCAGTCTGCTGTTTATCCTTTAACTGTTGAATCACAGAGTAAGGGCCAGGGCCAAGACCTCGAAGTGTTAATGAACTGCAGCAGAGAAAAATAAGGTCTTATGCCCTGCAAGATGGGGCTCTGTTCAGCATTTAGGGTGTTCAGCTTGGACAAACATGACAGATTTTAGCTTTCAATGGTTGCAAAGGAAGCAGCAGGTGCTTGCACCCACGGCATCCTTACCAACCACTGATGTATCCCGGACCAATCCCCGACTACATCAGCAAATGGGTGGGGATTGGGGATCGGAGGATCATTGCCCAAAATATGGAGGGGGCACACATTTTCCTGATCAGCCAGGCTTCAAGCTCTTTAAGGGTCTGTTATGGATTTTTTTGCACACAAATTCCTCATAAAATCCACAGTGTGGATTCCCTGGGGGACCTCACGCCTAAAAACTAAACCATACTTAACTGCTTCCCGCCCGCCATATAGTACAATGACAGGCACAAGGTGTTCTGGGAGGATGTCATATGACATCCTCCTATTCTAACCGCGCATGCGCGACTCTGGGAGCGCGTGGCGATTGGCGGTGCGCTGTGTCCCTTGGACACAGCAGATCACCGATCAACGGAAAGAGCTGAAGATGTCGGCTCGGTCATGTGATCAGCTGTGTCCAATCACAGCTGATCGTATGTAAATAGGGAAATGCCGGTTATCAGCATTTCTCTCCGCATGAGCTGTCACACTGACAGCTCGAGAGGAGAGCCGGCAATCGGCATCCCTCAGAGGGAACATGTACACTGATCATCAGGGCACTGATGATCAGTGTGCCCTGATGATCGGTGTAGCCCCAGCAGTGCCACCTGTCAGTGTCCATCAGTGCCAACTGTCAGTGCTCATCCATGCCACCTGTCAGTGCCCATCACTGCCACATTTCAGTGCCTACCAGTGCACATCAATGCCACATATCAGTGCCTATCTGAGCTGCCTTTCAGTGTCACAAATCAGTACCAGTCAGTGCCACCTATCAATGCCAGTCAGTGCTACCTATCAGTGCTGCCAATCAGTGCCGCCTATCAGTGCGATATATGAGTGCTGCCTTTCAGTGCCCATCAGTGATGCCTGTCAATGCCCATCAGTGCCACCTACCAGTGCCTCCTAATCAGTGCCACCTATCAGTGTCCATCAGTGCCCTATCAGTGCCCATCACTGCAGCCTCATTAGCGCACATCAGTGAAGGAAAAAAATCACTTATTTATAACATTTTATAACAAAAACTAAAAAAAAAAATGTTTGTTTTTTCCAAAGTTTCAGTGGTTTTTGGTTTAAGAAAAAATAAAAAAACCCAGGAGGTGATTAAATACCTCTAAAATAAAGCTCTGTCACAAAAAAATGATAAAAATGTCATATGGGTAAAGTGTTGCATGACCTGTGTAATTGTCATTCAAAGTGCAACAGCGCTGAAACCTGGAAATTGGCCTGGGCAGGAAGGGGGTATAAGTGTCCTGTAGGCTAGTGGTTAAAGGACACACTCCCCACAAAAGATCCATCAAAAAACAAAACAGACCCTTTACAGGCAGATTTATGGCACCCCCCAGTAATGTTACTTAAAGGAAATGGGTATTTTTAATGTTTTCTTTTAAGCATTAAAAAACACTGCTCTTGGCCAAATGGAATAACAAAATTGTATTGGTACCGTGAACCGAACCCAGGGCAGTTCAGCACATCCCTATTCTTGGGCTGTGTGAAGACTGGGGCTGTGGGGAAGTATTCTTAGACTACGCATGTGCACGTTGCTCAACACATCAGGAATCATGGGACAGACATTTCGGATCAAACTCACGGATAAACAGAACACTCCCCAACTAGAAGCTTAGAGAAGTGCAGTGGAGGAGGACACAGTGCAGAGATCTCATAAAAGAGAAATGTAAGTGCTTGGTACAAAAAGATGGAAAACATTTGTTATACAGCTAGTTACATGGAACTAAAGAGAATTTTTTTTACTGAGGGTTTAATACTGCTTTAATGCTACGTATAAAGTATGTTATGGCAATTTGTATCTGATGGCCTGCGTGAGGTTAACGAGCATGTCAATGAGAGCTGGAGGAAAAGCCATTTTATGATAATTGGAACAAATGCTCAGTGTCCCCCTTTGACCATTTGCAGTGCTCCAAGTTTGATGAGTTGAAACTTTCAGCCCAAGTGACTACATTTGAATCCCAGGTCTCTGAAACACCACACACAGGAAGACTAATCATTTTCGTTTGCAAATGGCTCCGCACCAGCATCTGAATTTACATGTGGAGAAGATTTGTTTGTTATAATTTAGCACTCTCCCCCACCCACGGCAAAATAAATCAGCATACTTCATTTGCATTTATCAGCAGGTTTATTAATACACTGTACCATAAATAAATTATTGCAGTATTTTTCAAAAGTGAACGGTACATAATCATTAACTTTCCCTGTAAATTAATTGCTGATTGGACAAACATTCATTACGGTGCCTAATCATTAATTGCACTCTACAATTAAACAATGTAAAATATAACTACTGATTTTGTATAATGGCAGAGTCTTAAACAGACAGAGAAGAACAACATAAAAAATCAAAGCAGAACTGTAGGCAACAAGCTAAATACCCGGCTGTAGTGCATGTGTGAGCAGTTTGTAGGAAGGATTTAACCAGGTCCCCTTAGTTTGGTCCCCTTCTTACAGAAAGTGACCTGGTAATCCTGCCCTTCTGGCAGATCCCCTTCTATAGGGTGGATGGAGTCTAGTAAAGAGAGCTTATAGGGTACCTTAGAGAGGAAAGATGCAAAGGTGGACTAGTTGTTCCATGTTTGGTTGTGACTCATGATAAGCTACAGTAGTGCAGGTGAATCCTGAATGCAAGCTACACAGTGTAAACCTGGTTAGGTCAGTAGCTGGTATATACCAGTGGGAGGAGGTCGACCCTCCTGATGGTAAGTAGAGGACCCCTCTTATGGAACAGTCAGGTGCCTTGAGCCTCTGTGTCACATGGGCCCCAGGTGCATGGTAATATTGTCTAAGCCATAGCCAAGGCCTTCAGCAGCTCTCGTATAAACTGAGGGGTCCAGAGTGTGGTTGACCAAAAGGATGGTGTTGTGGGATTTCAAATCTGTCATTTGTACACAAGAATGCACACAGTTAGAAGGGCTTTGGGGTGAGTACAGGCATAGTAGTTTAGTGTAGTCATCAGAATTGGCCTCCCAACATTAGTGTTGCTATTTGGGAGACAGGGAGATCCTGGAAAGTTTGAGAAAGTTATATAAGGCAATGGAAGCATCAAGAAAGCTATGGAATAATTATAGAAGACTATGGAAGCTAAGGTATTGAGTTGCTACATGGCAGACTGACACTTAAGAGAGCAGGCAGCAGGATGTGTTTTTATCCACAGACTGGTTATTTTCTATGGCAGTCCTGTTTATCTCAAAGTGGATAGTCTTCGGAGGTTACCTTCATCTAGTCCTGGGTTGGTGCTGGATACAAAGCTAAAGTCTGTGCCATTATTATTATTATTATTATTATACAGTGTTTATATAGCGCCAAAAGGTTTGCTCAGCGCTGTACATTAAAGTTGGGGGACAGTACATGAGACAATACAGTAACAATACAATACACGAGGGGTTCGAGGGCCCTGCTCTTTCCAGCTTACAATCTAGGAGGGAGGGGGGGTAGAGGTACAGGAGGAAGTGGCTGAGGGGGATGGAGTGGTAGGAGGAGTGGAGAAGAATGGCTGTTAGGTGAGGGTGGTATAGGCTTGCCTGAAGAGATGGGTTTTCAGGGTGTGCCTGAAGGTGAGGAGGGTAGGTGACAGTCTGATGGATTGGGGTAGGGAGTTCCAGAGGATGGGGGAAGTCCTGCAGTCTGGCGTGGGAGGAGGAGACCAGGGAGCTAGAGAGTAGGAGGTCTTGTGAGGAGCGAAGGGCACGGGTAGGGTGGTATTTGGGTATCGGGTCAGTGAGGTAGTTTGGAGCAGCGTTATGAATGGCTTTGTATGTCAGAGTTAGTAATTTGAATTTATTGCGTTGGGCAATCAGGAGCCAGTGAAGGGATTGGCAGGGGGGGGGGTGGCAGAAGTGGAGCGGTTGATGAGGTGGATGTGTCTAGCTGCTGAGTTCAGGATAGACTGGAGCAGGGATAGTCTGTGATGAGGTAGGCCGGTGAGAAGGGAGTTGCAGTAGTCTAGGCGTGAGATAAAAAGGGAGTGTACGAGTTGTTTAGTGGTGTCTGGGGTGAGGAACATGCGTATCTTGGAGATGTTGCGGAGGTGGAACCTGCATGAATTTGATAGTGATTGGACATGAGGTTGGAAGGAAAGGTTTGAGCCCAGGGTGACACCTAGGACTTTGGCGTGTGGGGTGGGATTGATGGTGGCGTTGTTAGTCGTGATGGAGAGGATGGGGGTGGGGCACGGGCTGGAGGGAAAACTAGGAGCTCGGTTTTGGAAAGGTTTAACTTGAGGAAATGGAGCGACATCCAGTCTGATATGTCGCCATGGAAGTACTTTTCTCTGTGCAACCAGGGAAAGATGGATTCCCTTGTACCACTGTTTCCGGACTGAGATAGTGTGATCCCAAGTGTGTACCCTTGGGTGAGATGCCAACATTGGCAAGCCTATCTGTTCGCATTGCTGCTGGGGAAAGTTGTGCCTAGGGAACTCGATTTCTATGGAGCATGGGACATAGTGGGAGGAGATCAAATTGGATGCATCGACCAAACCGGCAAGAGCAGGAATGGTAGGGTTCCCGGATGCCGTAAGACATGAGCTCTACAGAGACAGGCAAGGATTTCAGCTTCAAGAGTCTTCAATCTTTTGAAAAAATGTACTGTATTTATTGTGGCCTGGAGAAGAGGATTATCGTTTGTATGTCAGATGCCTGCACCCACGGACTGGGAAGTGAGGGGTTAACATATATCCCTTAGTTTGGGCCCATCCTTACAGGAAGTGACCTGTTAGCCCAGCCCTACTGGCAAACCCCTTATGTAGGGTGTATGGACTTTAGTATACAGAGACAGTATTGCGTTTCTGAAAGAGGGAAGATGTAGAGTTGGACCAGTTGAACTGTATTTGATTCGTCCACGTGGGTATCCCCTGCCATGGGCCTTAAGGCACCCAAAATTCAGCACTGACCTAAAGGAAATAATGACTTGAAATTATGCCAGAAGATGTGGGTTTTATGGACTGGATCAAGATGTGCCTTATTCCTATTCAACCAATGTTTAGAAGTACTAACCTAGGACAGAGTAAAAGAGGAAGAATTTGCCTTTTGGCTGGATGTATGTTACTCTATTAGGATGCCTGAATATCTGAGTGGAAAATCTAAAGTGGACATGTACACAGCTAGGCTGCAGGTAGCTGGATGGGTACTGAATTATAATATGTCACACTGGTGATGATGAATGAGATCCTGAATACACAGTGCATGGTATAAACCTGGTTGGGTCGAGGGCTGGTGGTAGCTAATGGGAAGAGGTTTACTCTCCTGACAGTGAGGATCATGAAGAAATGTAAGCCCTTGAAAGTGAGTAGCTTTTTGTAGAAACGCACTACAGTCCATTTAACATGGTTTCCTATGGAACATGTTTACATCTATGCTTTTTTTGAGCTGCTGCATTTTTGGAAAGGGTCATGGACTGTAATGTAGCAAAAATGCTGATTTTTGCTTTTAGAGTTCAATGGAGAAGCTGCTGAAATGCATGGTAGTGCGTTTCTGCCGTATTTTGCAATTTGCTTTTTTATTCTGCCCAGCAACAAAAAAATATTGCACTTTAACAAAAGAGCTGAACAAAAACACCAACCGCTGTAAAAAACACATCAAACATGCATCAAAAATACATCAAAAGCACGTGTAGAAAAACACAAAATGAACTGCAACCCGGACAAAAAGCAAACTGCATAGGTATGCACAGAGCCTGAGGGATCATTGCGTAGCAGAGCCAAGTCGATGGCATAGTGGGGTTTCAAACCAGCCAAGAAGGCAGACAGTACTGGTCTGTATGGATATTTACAATGAGAACAGGCAAGTGGCCTGGCCCCTAAGTAGTCCTGCCTAACAATCCATAATTTTTTTTAGCCAGCCTTGAGATCCAGTCACTCCTGCATACAGCATGATAGTCAGATTCCTAACACTGCATCTAACC